TTTTGAAAAAGCAAAAAATAACCTTAAACGTGGTGCGCATGGAGATTGTTGGGAAGAAGTGAAATACAAATGAAATAGATGTGCACCACATTTAAGGTTATTTTTTGCTTTTTGAAAATGTGGTTTTTTAGATTAATTTTTTAATCTACTAAATTTTTTTTCATTACAAGTAAACTTTCTGCAATTGAGCATGTTGATGAAGATTAAGCAAGCATTTAGGAAAGTTCTCAAATTGACCGTCTTTGCCTTGAGTCTTTTTTTATATAGGCGGCCTATTAAATTTCTTTTTTATTTCCCGAAGAAAAAACTTTAGTTGGAAAGAAGTTTGAGAAAATCTCCCTCATTTTTCATTGTTAATCATAAGTCTGCCTTGAAAAACCCGGGTTGAAGCAAGTTTCTGAAGGCACACACACACACACGTAACACGTATTTCTGATGGTCGACCCGAACCCCTTCTTCATTTAACCCATTTTTTTTCATTTTTCCGTCACAAAAGCCCAACGGGGTGCATTCAATTTGCTGATGTATAATTAGGGGTTTCCACAAACTTTTTGTTAATAAACCGACAAAAAGAGAAAGAGTGATGAGGATTATAATTTACAATAATTAGAGAAGTTACAAGTAGACCTTTTAGTCATGAACATTACTTATTACACATGTACAAAAAGGGACAAAGCTAACAATAATACTGGGGGTAGAAAGACTTTTTTTTTTGTACAAAAGTACAAGGGGAGGAGGATCCTACACAGAAGTTATGAATTTTTAAAAGTCAGTATAGGGTCAGGAAAAAATCTCTCATTGTTTGGCAAGCATGTACAATATATATGTATATATAGAAAAGAAGGGATGGGTTTAATGAGCCCCAGGGGGTGCGTGTGTGTGTGTGTGTGGGGGTGGGTCTAGTCTAGTGTAGTACAGTTTGTTCAGTGTACATTATGTGTATATGCAGTGCATTGATGGGTAAAATGGCGGCCTCCCTGACGTGGTGTGGCTAATGAAACGGGAGGCCATTTGCATATACACCTTCATGTCTTTGAGCCCAGGGATGAATAATTAAAGCAGTCGGGACCACAAAAGACCCCCCCTCCCCTCTTTTCTCTTTTTTCTTTTCCTTACCAATAGGTGTTCTCTTTTGTGTCATGCAAATGTGCTGTGCTCGTATTATTGGTATTCTCGGTATTCATGGGGACACCTTTCTTCTTTATTTTTTTTTATTTTTTGCTGCGTTTTTAAAGGAGCATATAAAATGAAAAAAAAAACTTACTGCATATGACTAAAAGGAAATTTCAGAAATGATTTTGATTGATATAAATTATTCCTCTCATTTCCACGCATAAACCCATGAAAATTTACGGTTTTTCAGTTTGGAGAAAATTTAAATGCTGTTTTGAATCAATCTTACAGTGTTTCATAGTATTTTAATTTCAGAAAATGAGAAATTTTCTGCTGAAACGAAAAAAGCATTTCATAATTTTTCTATAAATAGAAACGGGTTTTCAACTGACCACTGATTTTAATTTTCAAGAGCACACATTGATTGTAATGAATCAATTATTCAATCAGACTTAACTTAATTAATAAGCAGGGTTTCTTTTTTTAATGAAAGTGAAAATTCGACTTCGTTTGATGGAGACACCGTTTTCACCTATATTGGTGCTGTATGGAAATTATAGTTTAATGACCTTAATTTTCTAGAAAATAAATCCTATGTATTTTAATTAAAATGCTGGGAAATACGGACATACGTTATATAATGAAGAATAATTTTTATTTTTATTTTTTCTGAAACGGGTTCCCGAGAACTATTTCGGTCCTTGAAACCCCAGAGAATACCCTGGTGGCCGGGTTGCTTCTGCAAACCCCATGCACCCGGTGTAATGTCGAGCAATTTGTTACCCCAGGGTTTTTTTTTTTTTTTTTTTTTTTTTGCGAAGCAGGGAAGTCGGCTTTTGAG